TGCTGTTGCTGCTGTTGCTGCTGCTGTTATTGCTGTGGCTATTACTGTGACTGTTGCTGCTGCTGTTCACCATCATCCACATCATCACCATGATCCTTCTCCATATCTTATAATACAACACTAACAGTCTTTTCTATCTTGTTGTGATTCAGACGGGTGATATGACAGTAGTCAACCCATTATTCAGCGATCAGGAAGTCGTGGGCAGTGATCAAGATGCTAATGGTAACCGTAGTGGCCAGAGCTCCCCTGGGACCTCTCGGCACAGCAGCACCACTAAACCTGAGTAACACTTTATTTTGCCAGGGTTAATTAAGGAGTAATTATTAGCTATTAATTAATTTACCAATATACAAGAATATATATTACAATATCTCATGAATTGGACCAGTGACTAATGGGAGGATAGTTATTTATCTGTGTGGTATTTTTTGGGTAAAAATTCAATGATAATCTTCAAGAAAAGATTTCACAAATTTAAAGATTAATTTTGATATTTTTGTTAATGTTGTCTCATTTGGTTCAGTTCGTTTTCTTTTTGATCCAGTTTTTTGTATTCTATCTCTAAGAGAAAAATAATCTATGGGAAATTATCTGTATTCTTAATAAAAATTGACAATATATTTATTATTGTCAACCATCTTTTCTTAATGATAACAAAACTAACAACTGGGAATGGAATATAAACAGATCAAGCTCTAAAAACTCCTTCAATATGGAATTGATTATAGGGATATTTATTAGGGGAATTTACGACTTGATCAGCTTGACTAGATTTAGTACTAAGTATACTTCTCAATTGTTGATCAAGGTTTAGAATCTCTCAAGAAACAATTAACTTGAGTTATGTTTTTGCAATGAGAATTTAATACTTGATCAAAATGGTAGGTTTGAGTGACAGATTCAAACTGAAATTCACAGATTCTATTATAATGAAACAACATTATTTTTCCTAATTTTGGGGATGGTATTTTTTACTTAAATTTAGATTATAATTATAATGATTGTATATGAATGTAGAGGGCCTTCATGAATTTGCTTCATTGCTATCAAATGATGATTCCAAGTTGATGCTGGATTGATATAAGCATATAAATAGATAAACTTGTTTTACAAGGGTAGTATGGTATAAACAGACCTCTGGCCTTCTATACAGGAACTAGACTTTTTATGGCATCAAGTCATAACTGTCTGGATTCCCCTGTACATGAATATCTAAATCCATTGAGACAGCATCTTCTCTTCCCACCTCCCTCCCTCCCTCAAAATTATCTTGCAGTGATTCAGTATCTGGATGTTCCCCTTGAAGGGATTGTGTATCATTCTCAGCAGAAATCAATCCAATCTTGCCTTGGAATCATTGTTCATCAATGTCAATTATTAGCAATTCAAAGAGAGGTCCTTGAGTAGAGAGGGGTGTTTTTAGAAGAGTTTTAATCACATAAGGTAAGAAGCTCATACTGTAAACGTGCTCATACTTGTGTAATAGAAGTAGATATATCTAGATGTTAGTGGGTAATAGAAAGTCTTTTCTAAGCTGCAATTCAGGCATTTTATACTATTTCTGCCTCGGCAAGTTGGCTTACATTGTCATGGTCATAACAGTGACTCTATACTCTGCTTTGTTCTGCTGTAACTTGACAAATGCCATATTTGCAAAGTTCAAATATTTCTGGGCCATATTAGGAGTTTCGAGGTTGAGCAAAAGACTTGGTAGAGCTGGCATTGCAATGCTTTGTGAGTGTGTTTTAGGTTACAAAATATACATCATCTTAAAAATATGTTCCCTACAACAGCCCACAATACACTTCAATGCCAACTGAACCCATTCTTTCCCTAAACCTTGGAGTGGGTAATACTCTGCATCTATATTCAATAGAGTTAGATAAAAATGGTTGGGAGACCAATATAAATCTGTTTATCCATGGGAGTAGCACAGAAATGGTTCACTGTCATTCACAATTTATTTATGATTTACCGGAGTTCTCCACTTGATTTCACTTATTTTTAGGGTGTGGTTTAAACAGTTTCTTTCCTATCGTTATTTCTGTCTCATTTTATACCACAAGTGCCTAGAGTATAAATGTGTGGCATTTCTTTCTGCAAGGTTGTGTGATAAGTTGCAGAAAGATGTATCTAATATTGGGTGCACCTAGATTAAGGGAAAGTCTTCCAGTATTGCATTGGAATAGGTGTTGTATTCATAGGATTTTTCACTGCACAATAGGTTACATGGTATAGGATTTAGACCACACCCAGTAAGCCCAGTTATCGTCTAATTACAGGTAACTATGGTGTGATAAGACTGGTTGCACTTGCAATTCAAGTGTAATCATAAACACAAGCTCAAACTTCCGTAATGCTTGCATAATGCAAATTATGTTGCCGTTATTCATTGCAAGTGTTACAGGAAGTACCCTGCATGCAATTATAGGAGCATTGCCCAACTTGTATGCAGAATATTTCCTGTGTATACGAATTAGAGTCGACTAACTACTAGGGCCAAGCCTTGTCTTTTTTTTATGTTCCCTTTGCGCAAGGCCTTACAGCAATTTCACAACAACCCCTCCATCGAAACCTGTCATTAATTGAAAACTGGGCTTTATTAATGATTAGCACCCCATATATATAGGTGCACGGTGTATATAGAAGAGACAATATAATTCGTCTCTATAGGACGATAATCATTTTAACCAAGATGATAACAGATTTATTTATCAGAATTGTATCGGTGGTAGGTAGATGTTCATTTCTCAGGTGTCTTGTTTTGTTCTCGTACAATATTTGTACAAAAATAAATGTTTTGTTCTCTGATATGTTGATTTGTGGTTTCTTAAATGTCGCATTTAAACACTGCGATCTATGCGTTTTGTTTCGAGTCGAGCATTTGGGTCAATACAAATAAAGTATAGAAACTGACCCAAATGTAACAATTGTTTGAAGGCAAAAGAGAGTAACTCCAACATAAACTTACGATTCAGTCCCTGGACATTCTGCTCGAGACAGGAAATTATGTCATGTGAAAGCAAGTAAGTTTGTATTTCTATTTTAGATTGTTTTAGATTGACTTTTTTTCATCCCCGCAAACGGCAAACGTGATCACGTTTTCATCGTTTTCCTGTATTTTATTTTACCTTTTACAAACCTTCTCACCAAAGACAAATATTGTTTTGTTTTTCTACTACTTGGACTTTTTGCGATTCTTTTCCAGTCATTTAAGGTATTTTTTTACTAGTAAACTGACGTTTCACGTTTGCCGTGAACGTAAATCTAAAACTCTCTATTATTGCTGATTTTCCCGCGGTCAGGTCTGTTTTTATTATATTTTAAATTGATTTTTAATTTCATGATAATCATTTTTGCCAGGTGTTGTCTGGTCCCTCCGTTACATATAATTGTGTCCGCTGAGCAAACAAAATTACGCGTTACCTTACCTTCTAAAATTTATTAATAAAGTAAATTCATCAAGTGACAAAACAACATCCAAATATAGAACAATACAGTAAAAAGCGGATATGTATAGTATTTATAATATTGCAGCAATATTCAGTTGCTATAGGCCAATAACATAAAATGAAATAACAATAATAAGAGAAGGAAAAAGATGACAAGAAATCCAGAGCTTTGCTATTGGCTAATAAAAGTATGACGTCATGAGCTGCAAAGCAGTCTTAAAGCTATTGGTTAATAACGTTATGACGTCATTAGATCCAAACAAAACGTCGGTTCCTATTGGATTACAATAATTTGACGTCAAAAATTCCAAAGCAAAAGCAAATAATTGATATCAATAAATCGGTTTACTTCGAGGTCTCCAATCTAACGCTTTCTCTTATTGGCTGACAAATACATGACGTCAAAACAAGTCTTTTCCGATTGGCTTAAAAAATGGCAAGAACTAATTCTATTTGTTGCCTGAACCCCATTGCCTTGCAAAAAAAATGGCAAGAAATTTTCCCCCACAATACTTTAATCTATCTATACTCTGTTAAAAAGCAGAAGTTATTTCGCAAACTTTCCTAAATTTACCGTGAATTATTATTAGGAGTATTCTACCTTCAAATATTCCTAACGTTGACATTATTATTTGTACAAAATAAATTCACATAAAAATATACTGCGCACTCCCCAATAGCATAACAAGACGCGATATCACAACAAGCTTGTCTCCAGGGTATCTTGGATAGCGATCGCAATTTTAACGGTAATAGCTTTTTTCTTAGTTCTTGAAATAAGTACAAAGACGACCCTATTGCCATAATCGTTTTTAACAATCCTCCAAAAAATATCATTTCCCCCCGCCCAGTTTGAACAGAAACAAACTTTTCTCGAAGATAGACAATATCGCGATGGTAACATGATTGTGTCTCCACAGCAACATAACTGTGTCACCATGGCAATGTGATTACGTCATCATAGCAACAGAACTGTCACTATACAAATGTGATTACGTCGCCATAGCAACATAATTTTATCGCCATAGCAACGTCAAGAGATCTAAATATTTTATACTGCCTATTTTCCTTCGTTTTCAGTCGTTCGTTTCTTACAGACTTTAGGTAAGACGTCGGCTATTCCTTGTAGTTTTGTCATCTCCTTCTTCAGCCTCGCTATATCAACTGTGTACTCTTTAATACTTTCGCGTATAATTCGGTGGGTCTCCGTGATGTTGTTCAACATTCCGTCCACAATTCTTGCGCCTTCGATCTCCTTGTCCAGCCGTCCATCCAGCTCGTTCAGCTTGCTGATATCCACGGTGTCCAGGTTGTCGATCTCCTTGAGTATTTCATGAAGTTTTTTCATCACTTCGTCGATTTTAACACGAGCTCTCTTCGCCGACCCAGAGGCGTTGACTGCCTTGCCTTTAGCATCGACAATCTCCATCTTGTCTTTGGTAGCTTTGTCTTTGAGGGTCGAGACTCTGGCTGCTGCCTTCTTGGCTGGCTCACTGACTGTATCTTTTGGAAGAATTAGGTTTTCTGCTTCTATTCGTATCTGTTCTGCTTTCTGAAATAACAATTATATTGAAATTTTTTTCAATTGCAAAAAAATCTTTTCATTTTTGGTTTCCTTTCTCCTTCTACCCCACCATTTTTTTGGTTTAGCGCAGGTCGTCTTATTCCAACCAAGATTTTCCTTTGCCCTCGTAAACAATTCTTTTTCGCAAGCTGTATTTAAGCACAAGGAAAAGTTTATTGAACTTTTAGTGAATGGATTTTTCCCCTCGTGAACATGACGAAATTGGCCATTATTTCCGCCAAGCATTTCTTTTGTCAAAAGAAAAGCCTGCTAAAAATGACAAAAATATATAAATAAGTCTTACCTCTTGAGCGTTTTGGGCTGTTGTCTTTGCCTCGTTAGCTTTAGCTTTCGCTTCGGATGATAATTTCTGTGCATCTCCAAGGTTTTCGGTTGCGTTGTCTGACTTCTTGTTAGCTGATTCAATGAGTCGTTCGATCTCGGGAATATTCTGCTCGGCTTTCTCGGCATCTTTTCTTGACTTCTCGATAATGGAGTTGAATTTCTAGGAGAAAACAAATCACAATTTTTGATAGGTAGTAAAATTATTTGAACTAATAATGAATCAATCAATCAAACAATCTGCTGCTGCTGTTGTCGTTGTTGCCAAGAATACAAAAGAAATGCCCCAATTCCATCGAGAAAAAGTGTGAATTATTTTATTTCCTTATATCCTGACTTTCAAAATAGTTTTAAGACTGGTTTACGAGTAACGAGTGTTCATGAAAATAAATAAAATCTCCCTACATATTTACCTCCAAAGTTTCCTTCATTTTCAGTGCTTTGCTCAACGTTTCTTCTCCCTTTAAAAACGACTCCCATGCCGTACTATTAGCGTCCTCAATCTCACTCAGAAGTTTGTTCAACTCATCAAGAAGTCCAGGCCACTCGGCCATCTTTTTACGCACATCGTCCTCTTTGTCATTGAAGCTGGCAACTAAGTCTTTCAAACCTTCAATAATCTTGCTAGACTTGTCTTTCATAGTGAGTGCTTCAGTTTTGGAGGCGTTGGCTTGAGCTATATTGAGAAAAAAGAAGGAATATTTTATACAGTTATTTAAGACTAATTTTGGAATTGCCGTGATTTTTGTTGAGGGAGAAGAGTTGGGGCTAAAGGGCAACTGAATTATGAAGAATTGTAATGTCTCTCCCTTAATTTGAGCATTTTCTCCGAGTTCTCTAGATTTCCTCGGCCCTGACTTAGGTTAGGTCAGAGGTTGTTTCAGGGTTC